CGGACAAGTCATTTTGATGGTAGAAATGCGTTACAGTACACCTCCTTCAACTATTCTTTAGATCATTTCGTTTTGTCCGGGTTCGAGAACAGTTATAGCAAAAATAGGAGGCTAACTTTGTAAGTCGCGCCATTTCCACCCCCGGACCGGACAAGTCATTTTGATGGTGGAAATGCGTTACAGTACACCTCTTTCAACTATTCCTTAGGTCATTTCGTCTTGTTCGGGTCCCAGGACAGTTATAGCAAGAATAGGGGGCTAACTTTGTAAGTCGCGCCATTTCCACCCCCGGACCGGACAAGTAAATTTGTGGGTGAAATTTGGTTGTAGTACAATCATAGATGATCATAGAATTGTTAGATATTTATTTTTATTAATTTAGTTTTGGGGGCTAACTTTGGGGGCTAACTACACTCAAGTAGTTTACTTATCCTCCAGAAACCTGTTTCTGTCTCAAAATGTTGTCAAAGATACCTAACACTATTACATTTATGTAAGTATTTGTTGTTTGTTTTTATTAAACTATTTCGACTTCAACAAAAACACAAAAATGAAAAAAAATGTAAATAAAAAATACATAACTCTTGTCTTTAAAACAACTAAATAGATTTCCGTGTGGAGCTCTAAAAATATAAATATATTATGGAACTTTAATATTATACAAGTAAACCAAGCCTAAAACTAAACATTTTTAAAATAATATATTTCAATTTTCTGTTAATTCATACAATATTAAAATAATAAATAATACCTATATCCTACTTATATATGTATTATTTTTTTTTTAGAAATAGTCTTATTTCAGGTCTCAAAATTAATTTCAACAAATTAAAAATGTGCTAAAATAATTTTGTGCATGGAAATAAATCGGTAATATCAAAGATACTACAAAGAATAAAAATAAATAATATTTATTTAATAAATAAAAAACTTACAACCAACATAAATAACAAAAGTAGGTTCATCGTTAGTTAGAACTGAACGTGATCAGTGAAAGCACTTTCACATTAGACGTATTATCCTTGTTAACATCTTTACAAGGTAATTATCTAGACTTTCCCTGCTGCCTGGGCAATCACTCGAACTGCTGCTAAACTTTCTTTAGCAGTAGGGTTAATATAACTTGCTGGAAGCACAAAACCATACCTGAAAAATGTTTGCATTTAAATAAGTAGGTACAAAGAAAATCAAAGAACAGGAGAAAGTATAAATTATTGGAAGCAAATGATTCAATATTAAAATATTCCAACCGAGATTCAAACTTATATATGAGAAATGTGATGTTGGTTCTAACAAATATAATGTCCTCATTTTTGTTACAAAATTGGAAAAATAAGTATTATTTATATTATGAAATTGTCAAATTATTTTAGGCAATTACTTCGTAAATCTAAAAAACTTAAAAATATAAATGTAACACATTTTTTTTTTCAATCATGCCAATGTCATTACCATTAATCAGCTGTAAAATTAATAATAGTATTTTCACAAAACGGGTTTTATAAAATCAGAAAATGTTTTAAATCATTAATAGCTGATCTATTTATAGCCTAATGTATAACATCTTTATATTATGATTATGACAATTGACTATTTTCATAATGATGTAGGTACCTAGACATTTTGAAGTGTATCATTCTTCTCTGTAAAGAAACTGAAGAACTACATCTAATTAGGTAGTCAAAGAAGTTTTAGTGACATATCTGACATGCGAGACGTAATTATCACGCTAGTATTTTTTCTATTCCAAGGTCTTACCTTCCATTGTCTCTCAATTCGATCGTGTATGCATATTTAATGCCAGCAGACCCCTTGGCCCAGTCGTCCGACCCGCCCGCTGCTGGGTACAAAGTATTAGCAGCTGGGCCGACCCTATATGACGACCCCGTGGTAGACCTGATGGCGGCAGCTGCTTGTCTGCCTACTGTCTCGAGGTCTTTGTGGTCTGGTGGTACCACCCTGTTGTAACCCCAAGGGTACAGGATGTACTGCCCGTATGAGTGGAAGGAAATGTAGGCTCCCCATTTTGCAGGAGTTCCTGTAAAAATACAAATAATTAAAATGTACCTCTTTAACATTTACGTAGCTAGAGGAGGCAGGACACGGCCATGGCTGCCCTAGATTAAAAACAGTCTTTCAGAGAATATTGGGTTAGTATTTCGAAATAGGATAATTTTTATAATATTGTTCAAAAGATTTTGCCGGTGTGCAATTCTACACTGAGGGAAATATCTTTTATTTATATTTTTTTAGTAGAAATTGATTACTTCTTAATAAATATCTGTTTAAAATAGGCCTCTTATTTAGTAGCCATAATGCTTTTTTGCTCTAACAAAAGTATTTATCGCGGCTGATAGGTTCTCATTCTAGGATGGCGAGTTTTATGACCAGATCAACAAATATCTTTTTTTACTTCGAATAAGTGAGTTTTCAGACACCAATAAGTGACTGAAATAATTATGTGCACTTATTAACTCTCCCTTCATATTTAAGTAAGTTAGGTGCAAGAATAAAAGAAGATTAATTATTGGACTATATACGATATTTTTTCTTGTGCGCATAATGCACATTGTTAGATCACTCCTCACGTTTAGTTAGATCATTAGGCATTGTTGTTTCCCTACTTACCTGTAATAAATCGCTGAATTGCAGCTGTTTCTGGCTCTGAAAAAGCTCCCGACCCTCCATAGGTTTCAGCACAAGGATTCTTGGAGGAGCCTTGCCCACCCCACCGGTACCTGCAAAATTATTTATTACTTTTTCCAAATCCTTTGTCTTTAAAATTTTTCGGACTGATATTCGCGAAATATTCGTGAAAATAAAATTTTATATCAAGGCGCTCAATTAATTCTTTGCACGAATTACATTGGGATAACAACATTACGAATACTACAGGGTGTTAAAAAAGAGTGTTTAAATATTTAAGGAGGTAATAGTATGAACCAAAATAAGCAGAAAAGTCTCAATAAACATGGGTTCGCAAAGTAACGGTTGCGGAGATATGGAATGTTTTATGTTTTTAGCCCCTTTTTTTATTTTGCAAAAACATTGGGTATTTTCTTATAATAGTTGGTTGATGTTTAGTGAAATAAACAGTACGTATTTGACAGTTGTTCTCAGTGCACAAGTTTTCTTTCGCTATGGCTGGTTACCTCTAACGCAGAATTAACAGACATGCATTTCATGTATGGTCGTGCTAATGGGAACGCCACCGAAGCGCGACATCTTTATGTTGACGCTTATCCAAATCGCCAGATTCCTTCACAACGCATGTTTGGAAGAATTCACCAAAGATTGCGTGATACCGGTTCCTTGAGCAAACAGTGCCATTTATCCGGAAGACCAAGGTCAGTATCCACTCCTAGAGCAGAAGAAGAAATTCTAGCACTGGTAGAGCAGAATCCAGGTACGAGTGTGCGGAGAATATCAGCCGAGGTAGGAATTAGTGGTCCTCTTGTTTGGAGAATCCTTCACGAGCAACTGCTGTATCTATACCAAGTGCAACGAGTACAGGCCTTAAATCCAATAAATGATCATCAAGCACGTTTGGTTTTTTGCCGCTGGTTTCTACGTCATGATGCTGAAGACCCTCGTTTTCTTGCAAACATTCTTTTTTCTGATGAGGCCGGGTTCACAAGAAATGGAGTGTTTAATTTTCACAATACGCATATTTGGGCCGACGAAAATCCTCATGATCTAATAGAATCTGGACATCAGGCACGTTTTTCATTAAACATTTGGATGGGTATTGTAGGTGACAGGTTTCTAGGTCCTGTTGTTTTACCAAACCGATTAACAGGCGCTGCTTACCTCAACTTTCTGCAGAACACACTGTATGAGTTTTTGGAAGACATTCCTTTGAATCAGAGGCAACAAATGTGGTTCCAGCATGATAGTGCTCCAGCTCATTTTTCCATGGCCGTTAGAGAGCATTTACACCAAACTTTTCCACATAGATGGGTAGGAAGGGCCGGTCCTGTTTTATGGCCTCCAAGATCGCCTGATCTGAACCCTCTAGATTTCTTTGTTTGGGGATATTTGAAGACATTAGTGTATGGTACTCCTGTAAATAGCCTGGAAGAGCTGCAGCTACGGATTAATCAAAAGTGTCAAGAAATCCAAACCAAGGAGGGTGTTTTCGAAAGAGTTCGAATATCGTTGAGACGAAGATGTCGTGCCTGCTTGGAAATGGACGGAGGGCACTTTGAACATCTTCTGTAACTTTGTTGTTTGTTTGTGAAAAAACTTTGTCGGTTTATTCCTAATAAAATAAAATGATTGAAAAACGAATAGTGGTCCATATCTCCGCAACCGTTACTTTGCGGACCCATGTTTATTAAGACTTTTCTGCTTATTTTGGTTCATACTATTACCTCCTGAAATACTTTATACTCTTTTTTTAACACCCTGTATAACCTCATGGTTAGATATGTGCTATAACTTACATATAAATGATTTATTTGAAAAACTAGGTATAATATTTAGATGCATTTTATTTTCTGAACCACAAGTGAATATGGAATTATGAATATGAATATTTGTACTCTGAATAAGACAGCTCGCAGCTGACATATAATGGCCTGTTCTATAAATAAGATCCAATCAAATTAATAAATTATTTTTAATTATCAGTAAAAAAATGAATATGTAGTTTCTTTACTTGCATGTCGTTGTTGTTACAATATTAACCTTTTACGAATATGTTGATTTTCACATCATGTGAAAACAATGTACGCATCTGGAATGTACGATTCACTCTCGGACATTACAACAAAATTTTTTTCACGTCTCGTTGTCTTACCCGAAATTCCTGTTGAGATCAGTTCCGGAACACGTTCCTGCTCTAGCCCTGTTTTTCCTCCATAACCTGTCGATGGTGTGACTGTATTCGTAACCATCGGGATTCAGGACCGGAGCCACGTACCAGTCGATGTTCTGGATATATTTCGGCTCATTTTCGAAATTTAACACGATGTTGTTGATTATATAAGTCACTGTTGCAGGACTTATCCATTCCCTTGCATGTATGCCTCCGTCGATCCAGACTGCCTTGTTGCCTTTGTTGCCGTTCGAAATTTTCAACAGCTGAAAAACCGCAGAATTTATAAAATTCGATAACTACTGGACATATTTCTGATATTACTGAGATATTACTTAATATACTATTGGATATTCGAATTCGGTTAAATCACCAATGCCAAATCATGAAAATAGTATTTTTTCTACTGATAAATAATGCCTTATCTATTTTTTGAGCAAGCCATGGAGGTCTCGGTTGTTTTGGGAGATGCAGAAGAAGATAATATGCCGAGTTTATCCTAACCTCTTCATTTTATTCGTTTATCAAAGAAAAAATGGAAAATTTTGGTTGTCATTTTATTTTTCTAATCAAATACCAATTTAAAATTTCTTGAAAAATTCGAATACTTGCTATGCTGATGGACGTCATATTGGATATTCCTAATTTTAAATTCACTTAATTTTTGTATTTTTTTAATACCTATGTTTGTCATATCTTACGGTTACTTTTTGTTGTTTTTTTTTTAAGCAGAGCATCCAACTATTATTCCAAATGAAGTTTTGACAGTAGTTAAATTTTTATTCATAACGTCAAACGTAGAGAACGAAATTTACAATTTTCATGTTTTTAAAACAAAGTATTCTTCAGATTAATTAATCAAGTCGGAGAATATCTCGCTCTGCTTACAACTTTGGTGTTTATCTAACTTTGTATCTTCAATATTTACCATGTTAGTAATACTGCTTGCTTAATTTTAATTGCACTGTATATGACATTATTTATGTCCCTACAGATATTTAGAAACAAATAAGTATGTACCTACGTTAGTAAAATTTAAAAAAATTGCAATTTTAAACTAATTTCTATTAAATACACGATATACAGGATGTGTTAATATTAAACAATGACGTATTTCTTAGAAGAAAAGCAGGTTAATTTCATGAAATGTGACATTAAAAAACGAGTAAAATGATTAATTAAAATTAGAGAAAGTATTAATTTCACCAGCAAAGCGACATATATACCTAATTAATTTATCGACGTAGATATTAAATAGATGTTCACATATGTTTTGTGGCTAATTTATTTTTTTGTGTGTAAAACCAATCTATAAAAATATCTTACTTAAACTCATCTTAAGTAGAAGTAGATACATACATTTTAGATTGAAAGTTTGAACAATTTTATGTGATTTCACTAATAAATTATTTTTCAATTCAAAGCTATAAAATCAATATACAGTTTTGAAGTATAAGATGTTTCTATCCATTAAATATATTTTGCAATTTCTTTGATAGCTGTGTGCAATGATTGTGGCGTATAGACCGATGAGTTTCTGCGTAAAAGATTTTAACAAAAATAATTGTCTATTCAAGTTTATTTAAAAGAGCTAGTTCGTTATTTATTTAAAATTTCTTCATATTTCATCTAATTTTGCAAATTGAATCTCTAGGATGCCAAAAGTAACCTTCTCCCTGAAATTAGGGATTAAAATGATACTTTTAATCTAGGAAGTGCAAACATTATATTGAAATATTAGAATATGTTTAATTGTTACCTTTATTGGCCGTCTCTGAACCGAGTGTCCTATAGTTTCCACTGAGCATAGTTTGGGATAAGTTTCGGCTAAATAGTCCAAATATTCATGTATGTCCTCAAGTCTGTGATAGGACTGCCAAGTAAGACGATGACCTACCAAATGCAATTGAAAGTTTAAAAGGCAATATAAAACATCAATCAAACATATGTTTTAGACATGTTTGTGTGTCGACGAGATATAACCTGTAAGGCATATATCATAGGTATATTTAAATGTCATTGCTTCTTTATGTGTACAGGTATAAAGCATTGCTTTGGCAAAGGTAATGATTAACTTTTTTCTTTATTCTGAATGTTTTGTCAGCTTGTAATCTGTCATACCCTGGTGAAAACTTATATAATTGGTACAGTGAAGAGATATTGTTTGTAACTTGCTTAGATTTTATAAAATGCTGTAATCAAACACTTTTATGTTATAGCTTCTGGTTTTCAAAACTCTCACCTCAAGAAACAATATTTATTTTTAAAATTAATCTCCAAAGATGTGTGACGTAGATTAATAAAATTTGGAGTAGTGACTTAACTAAATAAAGGTGAAAATTCACTAAATTTGCATACGATATATGAACGACTTGCTAAGGTGCTGGGATCATTTCGACGCCTCTGAATATTTTATATCTTCATTAAATACATTTGATTCTTAATTATATTTCAAAGGAAAATTATCTTTTCCCCTGTATTCGAAAAATGAGTAATTTTCGAATAATTTTTTTTTATTCTAAAATAATTTTAGTTGAATCAGAAGGCAACTCTAAAATTGTTTGTTTCACAAAAACAATTTATAGGAATTTTTTATTGCAAATACAATTTTAAATACATTGTGATTCTTAAGAAATTTTTAATTTTCTAAGGAGGCAAATATTTATTGAATTTTCTAGATTTAAATTGTATTTATAATAAAATATTCCTAAAAATGTTTTTTTATGAAACGAACAGGTTTAGAATTATTCGCTTTTCGAGTAAGTGCGAGAGACGTTTTTTCTTTGAAATACAGTGGCGTCGAAATTCTTACGTATCTTCTATACTGGGTGATAGAATTAAATTCAAATTAGAGAATTACATGCACATTTAGCGAATTGTTGCTTTTAGTTAGTTACTTAAATCGTCACCCTGAGTTTTAATAATGTATGTAAAACATGTTTTGGGATATTTACTTATTTGTGATGTTTTCCAAAACCTTAAAAACCCTGTAACTTGGAAATGAAAACGGCGGAAATTTGGGCTCGATATCTGATTTTAAAAATATTTGTAGAAATCGTACGCCACTGTCATTATCTTGTGACGTACTTGACATAGGACATGTTGTTACAGAAAACTTATTTTTAAGTAACCCCTCTGTCTCTATTACTAAATAAAAGGACAGTGGTATGAGGTTTTAGTTGAAGTTCCTATTAATAGACAGCGTAATTAAGACGTAATCCAACATATTACAGCCGTCTGTCTAATTCGTTTTATTTCTGTATTTTTTTAAATTGTCAGTTAAATAATGATTCATACAAAAATGAAAAGGCTGGTCATATTTTTGTCTCATTATTTAATTTTAGTGCTAAAAAAAATTGTCACAAAAATTTATGTTAATTTTATATTTTCATCAGTCTTATTTCTATATAATACAACTACAAAAGGAATTCCTTTAAGATGTACACAATTGACATCCTACAATGATATTTTAACATAACATGTGTGCCTTCTATACAGTGTGTTGGATTAAACACAAACAAACGACGTTCGACATGCCATGCATTTTACATACTCTGTTTGGTTACGGACCCCAATTAGATGTGGTCCTCAGCTTTAGCCTATTGCCTAAATAATTAAAACCTCGCCAAGGTTTTAAATAATAGAATGGTAATTTGCGCACTGAAATATTAACCTGCTGATAATTTAATAAGCACTATAGACGTGAGCAATAAAAAATTTCTGATCCGAAACAGCTGAGAGCAGCAAAATCTTGCTCTGCAAGGGACTATGTTGTAGTTCGAAAACTTTTTATTGTCCACGACTCTATGCGGTGAAAAGTATTACCTGTGCGATCCTCATTTTCGTGTTCTTCTGGAGGATTCTCTTCGTCTATGGCCCTCTGCAAATCATCTATCAGGACTTCGTATTGGATATTTTGCCGTCTCAGGACTGTGTCGACTTTTCCGAGAGATTTAGGTTTCACGAGGATGTCGATAGAATTTGTGTTCCCCCCCCACATCGATATGTCTGACATAAACAAAAATTTTGGAAATTATAAATGCGATAAAAACTCAGTCCAGTATAAAAAAATTTTACCGTTCTCATCCCGTAATTTAGTTAGAACCACTATTTTTTCTGTAGTGTCGATGTACGCTTTCCACAACTGGCTCCCGTTGTATAAAATTCTCGCCTGTGGCATGTCTTCAATGGTTGTATTCTGATTGAATTCTTCCTGAATGTCTGTTGATTTCAATATTGCTGGCGATTCTTCTACAATAGCTTCTTCGATGGTGTAAGGGGCCTCATTTTCTTCTATTATGATGGTCTCTGAAAATTAAATGGATACGTTTTTTCTATATAAATGTATTTGCAATGGGCTTTATATGGGAAATAAAATAAAAGTCAGACCATACATTTATTTGTTGCATTATTAAGATACAGAGCTTTCATAAATGTTTACAAGCCGCGTGACCACTAATTTTGTTTGGAATAGTAATTTTATTTCTTTCACGTTGGTTATTTTTCGGTAAAATTGAAAATTATTAAATCAATAAGATCAAGATTACTTTAAAACACAACATTCCATTCCATTTTACAGGCTGTGATTAGTGAAATTTTTCACGAGATGCTGTTCAACCAATTAGTGATCGCATTATCTCGAGCGTAGACGTAACGGTTTGTCATTGTTCATTGTAAACGAATAATTAATGCGACGCCAAGATTTAGGGATTTTTCATTAGCAGTAGCAGCCCTCCAATATTGGTTGCCTAAGCTCGACGGTTACGTGGCTTGTAAACATTTATGAAGGTTTTGTATGTTCTTTGTATTGCCCCAAACGTAAGTCATTTACTAATTATTGTGGCACAAAGCGAAATGGCCAAATAAAGAAAAAAAATGAAAAGAATATTTTGGGTATTTGTTTTTGAACTTTGAAATTTACTTGAAAATTTCAGTAAGATTTGATTAATAAAAGTTGAATCTTGAGAAAAATTACGATATTATACTCGTACGATATTGCTAAAGTACAGTATCAGTTTTTAATTTTTATTCGTATTTTTCTGAAACAAAAATATTGAAATTTTAAAATTTGTTATTTTGTTATACATTATGTTAAAGTAAATATGAGTATATGTATTATTTATTGTTTGTTTTAAATCAGATATATATTTTATGGTTTGTTACCATATAATATGGGGTGTGGTGGTATTCCATTTACATGGAACTTCCATAGATTCTTGGGGTCAAAATATGATGATTTAACTTAGCTTTATCTCATGTTACTTCGTTTGTTTAGCGTTTAGCCATTAGAGACCACCAAAATTGGCGAAAAAAGTTTAGAGACTTTCATAGGTATATCTTTAAAAAACGTTTTGTCCAATTTAAATGAACTTGTGTATAGATGTCATTTTTTGACCAAGTAATGGATATAATTGCATCTAGAGAAATGAAAAAAATTTTTCCACCACAAAACAAACAAGCTCATATTTTTTTGAAGGTGATTTGTACAACTTCAGTTTGGTTTATCAGAATCGTAGGGGTCTTTCCAAATTTTTAAGAAAAAACATTCGATTACAAGTTTCTGTAGGTACTACGCAAAGCATTATTTCTATTTCATTATAACAAATAAATCAATCAATCAATTAATGACATTTAAATCCGTTTTGTATAAAAAATGATTCGCTGATGACTATTAAAACAAGCAGGAAAACCATTAAGGATACAAAAAATGTACTAAAGCAAAAAAATAACTTGAAAAAAGAATTACATTTATGATAAAATACGAATTAAAGTTGTAAGGTCACCTGGAAAAAAAATTTGCATTTTGAGTTTTAAATGTTTGAATCTGCAAGAATCTGTGATAGTTCCATTAATACTACACGGAATATTGAGATGCTTTGTATAAACTAAAATGAAAATGAAAATGCTTAACACTAATAAATTAATTAATTAATTAAATGAAGGTATAGTATTATTATTATCTCTACTTCTTGATAACTTCTTTATTTTCAACCTTATTAAAGATTTCTCTTTAATATGTACTTCAAAATTTGAACAATTTTAAGCAGAAATGGTACTCTTCAACTCTGCATCAGTAAATGTTATGTGAAATTTATTATAGATTTTGTAAAATTTCAATAAACGCAGTCATAAAGCAAATGTACATAGATAATGGACATGATCAAACCGTAAAATAATTGAGTCTGAGTTTAATTATCTGTAACTGCTACATCTAATAAATGAAATTAATTGCATGAGAAAAATTAAGGTTTTCCCAATAATTTGAGGTGATAACGGATTTCAATAATACTCGATACATGGCCTTTCATCACTGCTGGGCAGAACGGGATAACGAGATGAATGTAAATTAATTTCTCACAAATCAGTTAACAAATTATTATACTATTAATGTCATCTAGCCATCAAAATTATATTTCTCAAATTTTCAATTACTGAAAAACTACTATTGTCGTAACCCAGGAACAGGCGTCCTTTTTGGGATGCTTGGTCAACGCGATATCCCTCGCTTATGATTGTCGGAGCGCTAGATTAAATCTGCTTTAAAATAAATGTACTTTTTTTGTATTTTGTTTAATTTAAAAAAAATTGTTTTATGTTTACGTTTACGGTTTGTGTTACTTTTTTCTTCGTGTTTTTTGTGACTGCAAAAACACAAAATAAACGTAGAAAAAAAAAGAAAAAAAAAAGAAATAACTAAGAAACAAATCATTTTGAATCAAGTAGGTACCTCGAAGGGAACAGAAAACTTCTATGTCCACGTCGTTGTTGCATGTTACGCTAAAAGTAGTTTAGGTATCAGCCTACATTTATACAGGTAAAAATATTCCAAATTATTCGAAATTTGCAAAATAAAAAAAAATTTCTAGCGACGAATTTCGAGTATAAAACCTGGTATTTTTTAATACAAACTCGTTGCAGAATCGTATAACTACATAGGTTCTCAGTGGGAGAAATCGAAAAAAAAAAAAATTTCTTCTATTACACGCCATCTATCATGAATCGAAAAAAATGTTTTAGATAAAAACTACGTACTTTTAGCCGTAGAATTCGAATTTGCGATATAAAATGGGAGTTCGTATTTAAGATTTCAAAGTCTTTCCTCCCCCCTTACAAGGGGAAGGGGAGAGGGACTAATTTTAGCATTAATGTATTTCTCCTGCGAAATGATTAAATTTTGATTGTTGACATTTTCTTATTCTTATTTCTTATTTCTCGAGATATTTGAAAATTCTAGGTTAAAAAAAAACGCCCATTATAATTATAATGACAGCATTAAAGTTGACACCAAGTAGGAAAATATTTTATACGATTTTAGAAAATATTTCTGAATAGTAAATAAACGTAACAAATATGTCAATTTTTTACTCTGCAAAAAAGTGACTATTTGAATTGCCTAAAATTAAAAATAATAGGTACCATTTTTAAAGGAATATGGGTATTTGTTGGCCAAATTCTAATTTTCATTTATTTTGACTAGCTACAATTAAATTTTCATATCGAAATAATGTCAATACAAGAAAAATATCTGTTTGTATTTGGTTTTCAGTTTTAATTAATGGTAGTTTTATTGTAAACTTACAATACTTACTTATAATTTTTATGATACTATAACTACTATTATTAATGGAGTAAATATCCCGATAAAATAAACTCCGCTAATATTGATATTAATAATTCATCGAAAGAAATATTTGCTGATTTTGTATAGTATTATTAATTAAAGCTACTATAATTTAGAAAAGGTTTCACATATTTCTTTAATTTTAGCTTATTAAAATAATGTCACTTTCTCTTAAATCAATTTATTTTGTAAAATTTCATTTAAAAATGTTCTCTATTTGGTGCAAATTTTATGAATCATAAGGCATTGACAAAAATTTAATGTTTGAAAAATATAAACTGATATACAGGGTGTAAATAAATATGTAAGTGCGAAAAAATCATCTCCTGTGAAAATACAACAGCTTAAAGAGATGCCAAAAAAGCAGTTTTTAATTTTTTTCTGAAATACCAAAAAAGTGACATGAAATTAACTAGACATTTTCTGCTATCGAGAAGGCACTCAGTAACTATTATAAATTATTAAAAAGTAATAGAAATTGTATTAAATGTGCCGCCTACTACATAAATTACAGTTCGATAAACTTTCTACCCTATGCCAATCATGCCATATTTTTTGCTCAGAAATCGTTAATTTTATGAAAAATTTACAAGAGACATTTTACGTTTAACATCAATCAGGCTATCTGAAATGAATTTTTTAAATGGTAAGGTAGTAAGTAATAAGAAAATAGTTACGTACGAAACAAATATTAGGGGTTGCTTTTTCTACAAATTAAAAACTACTTTTTGTCGCCCTCTTTAAACTGTTGTATCTTCATAAGGGATGTTTAAATGAGATTTTTTTATATGAAAGACCAACCTTATTTTTCCACAGGAAATCACCCCCTGAATTTTTTCTCACTTATTTATTTACACCCTGTATATCTTATTTCTTCGCAAACTGGAAAATGTTTAAAACTACCTGGAAATATCAAGGATTTTTTTATCAAAATTTAATATTCACCGTGTTCTAAGCAATAGCCTTTTTAAGACGCAGCTATCGGTTTTGGGACTTACCCTCTATTGGCACGGAAGCGCGGCCCGTCACCCGGGCCACCACGAAGAAGAGGCACAGCACAAACGTCACGGAGCTCTTCATTTCGTTTGCGCGGAGGTGGCCTCCAGGCCCCCTTTTTATACGGAAGTTGACCTGACCCCGATCGCGGAACGGTATCGGTCAAGTTCTGCGACCATAAATGATTTCCTACCACAGTCGCCGGAGTATTTTGTTTTGCTCTCGATGTACACGCCTGGTGACAGACCGACGGTGATTTAGAATCTTCGTCGTGTCTTTTGTTTTGCGGTGGCACGTTTCAGAGGTCTCGGTTCTGAGGAAGATGTGGACTAATAAAAAAAAGCATAAAATCGGTTTCCTTCGAATATCTTAGAAACTACTCGGAATTTTCTAAATTTAAAAACGAATCCGTGATCGGCATAAAATTCTGCACAGTTTTGCTAATTTAATCATTTATGTATCTCTTAAAATAAAAAAGATACTTGCATCGGACAACTAAAAAGTTGTAACCCTGTATGCAGATAGTTCATAAATACACACACAATACAAAGTTAAAATTATAAATTCCTTAAATATACAGGGTGTTACGAAATTCGCGGACACGGACTGTGGGATCATATTAAGCTAGATAAGGTTATAAAAAAGTTGTCTTTATGATTTTTCAATCAGACCAGTATTTTTTGAGATATAGCAGTATCAAAATCCAAAAATAATAAAAATATTTATATTTATAAATTTCAATTTTCAATCATAAGATAAACAATTACGACAAACGAGTTACAACAATTGTTCAAAATTTCCACCGTCTGCTGTTAAACATGCTTCAGCACGTTGTGCTACTGCTCGAATGGAGTTATTTGCTGTATTGATTGAAATAGGCGGTTCTGCAATTCATTCAAATTTGCCACTGGTGTTCTGTACACCAACGTCTTTAGGAAGCCCCAAAAGAAAAAATCACATGGCGCTAGGTCTGGAGAACGAGGTGGCCAAGCAAATGGACCGCCCCTGCCAAGCCAACGTCCAGGAAAATTATTATTTAGGTAATCACAACGTGTTTAGCAGCAGACGGTAGAAATTTTGAATAATTCGTTTGTCATAATTGTTTATCAAATGATTAAAAATTCAAAATTTTTATTATTTTTGGATATTTAAAACTGCCGTATCTCAAAAAATATCGGTCTGATTGAAAAATGATAGAGCTTATGTTCTAGCTTAACATGATCCCACAGTCCGTGTCCCCGAATTTCGTAACACCCTGTATTCGTACACGACACAGTATTCACAACACCCACCATACACCTTAATTTTTTTTTTTTTTGAACAATAAAAATATCTAAAAATAAGGTTGAATCGTACTATATTACTCGTATATTAAACAGTTCATAGTTAAACAGGATTTTACATTACGAACTAAATGTCAAAGAACTTAATTTAGTATTCAGTTGTTCACAGTTGAATAGCGTTATTACAACCAAATTGTGCTCTCCAATTTTTACATTCAAAGAATTAGTTTTTTGACCGTTGTAAAATCTTATATACCTACTGAGTTTTCTGTATATTACAGTGTTGTTTGTTAAAGGTGTACTAGTTATTTAAAATATCTAGCACTTATTGCATTTATATTCCATGTCATTATCAGATTTGACTGAAATAATAACAGATTTAACGTCAGCGTAGGTACACAGAAAGAAACATTTCATGTATTAGTGTCAAATTCATTGGTATAAAATAAACAGTATCGGGTCCAAAACAGAACCTTGAGCAACTCCTATTTCAACTGCTTTACTCTTCGAGTTAAAAATTTTATTTAAACCACTATCTTTCAAAAAAAAGGAAATTCTATCTACAGGGTGGGTCACCAATAACGTCTCGGTGGCTAGGGACCAAACGGCAAATGTTATAGAAACCTGTTTAGGTGGGTACGTGTAGGTTGAATACGGCTACATTTTAAAAATATTTTGAAGGTTGTCCAGGAAAAGCGTACCATATCAAAGTAATATATTTTTAAATGGAACACCCTGTATTTTACTGCATTTTTGAAAGCACCGTAAAAAATAGGTGAACTTTATTAAAGGTTCTGCATATCTAGGACTTATTGTTTGTGAGATATTTCAATTTTAGTGAAAATGCATGCTTAGAGTAGAAATTTAATACTAGCAATAAAAAAATAATTTTAAGGAAGCAGCTTTGGAGAGTGTATTTTAGATCCTTGATGTTATAAATTATTATATTTGTCGCCACTTTGTATTGTACAGGGTGTTCAAAAAACTGCTGAATACTTCTCCCAACTTTAACCAGCAATAACTTGGTTATTTTAAATGGGACTCTCAGTATATTTTTACTTTGGAAGTTAGGAAATTTAAAACTCTTTCAAACTGTGTATAGGTATGCAGAACCTTTAATAAAGTTGATTCATGGTACTTTCAAAAATGCAGTTAAATACAGGGTGTTCCATTTAAAAATACATAACTCTGCTATGGTACGCTTTTCCTGAACACCCTGTATATTTCAAAATGTTTTTAAAATGTAGCCGTATTCAACCTACACGTACCCACCTAAACAGGTTTGTATAACATTTGCCTTTTGGTCCCTAACAACCGAGGCGTTACTGGTGTATAGGTACGCCTCTTATATCATATGCATATAATTTTATCAATAAAATTTATTATGTTCCACACAATCGAAGGCTCTCGTAATGTCACAAAAAATGCCTGCTGGACATTCCTCTTTTTCAATGAATTCAGGTAAATTTTCAAAAAATGCAAGTATAACCGTATTTCTCGACTTACCAAAGCAAACACCATGCTGACTAGTTGTAATAATATAATTTCTATCTAAAAAGGGCATAAGACGATTCAAATAAGTATATTCAAAAATAAGAGAAAAACTAGAACTATGATAGCAGGTCTATAATTGCCTACTATGATACCTTTTTATATATATATATACAGGGTTGTCGCGATGTAATGGGCCAAAATTCATGGGTAGATTCCCCAAGTAAAAAAAATATTGCGATTTAGCCGAACTTACCTTAGTCCAAAAGTTGATAGTTAAAGAGATACAGGGTGTTAAATGTAAAATATTATTTCAGTTTTTTTTAATTTATTCCTTAACAAATGCAAATATCCTCACAAAATTTTGGGGATTGGAGTTCGTTGAGTAGAGGAATTGAAATCTGTTCACATTTTGGTTAAAGTTCATAGAGGGCGCTAGCTGCAGTAGATTGAATGTGTTAAAAATGACATAACTTTTTTGTGCTTTAAGGTATCTCATCTTTGGTTACAAATTCTTATTTTCCAACTATTTTTACACAAAAAAGGTAGACTTTATGAAAGTAGCTGTCTCGCACCGTTTCCGAGATATTTGGCTTTGAAACTTCCAATGCTAATAGTTGAAATAATTAAAATAATTTAGAAATGTCAAAAACAAGGGTTTATTTAGAATTAAAAATTGTAATGAACAGTAAAATAGTAAACATTAGTAAAAAAATATGCCTTTTTGACAATAATTGCTTAAAATATCCACCTCTAACTTCAATACATTTATCAACACGTTTATTAAAAGATTGTCTTATTTTAAAGTATAAATCCTTAATGCGAAATGACTTTGCAGCATTTAAAACCTGCTACTAAAGTTCTTCTCAAGTGTTTATAGTTTCTCCATAAACAACTGATTTCATGTAACTCCAAAAACGAAAACCTCGGCATTCTATCTCACATTTATGTACGAGTATACAATTTAATTTGTAAGCTAAGATGTGATTTTAATTAGATACGAATAATACTTAATAGAAATTAGCATACAAATGACAGTAATAAGACAAGTGGAAGACGTCAATTATTTGATTTGCGTCCAAATCCTACTTAAGAAACTTTACCACTAAATTAATAATACCTGTAGGTACTTAATTGTAATTTAATGCAACAGCATTGGAAGCTTCAAAGCCAAATATCTCGAAAACGGTGCGAGATAGCTACGTTAATAAAGTATACCTTTTTTGTGTGAAAAAAGTTGGAAAATAAGAATTTATAACCAAAGATGAAAATTGTTAAAATGGAAGCCATTTGTTCTGGTTTATCAATAATTTGATTATCGTTTGGATTTACGCGATTTTTTTCTTTTCCCGGATAATTGTTGTAAGATAAAGATTCATTGATGGAGTAATAGTGATGAGTTCATAAAAAAATAGTCTTAACTTCACTTTTACCTTAGTCTTCGTCTCAATCCTAATATATTTTTTTTGTTTTTAAAAATTTTGTCTTATCCTAAACCTAAAAATTGTTTCATCCAATGACAGACTTTTGCGTATGAGTACTTGTCGTGGTATTAGTCTGTCCTAAGTAATCAAAGAATTTTCCAGGTCAGATCTTAAGACCTCCTGAACACTATGACTAAGTTAGGATTTTTATAAACATGTATATTGAAATCTGTAGGTCTAACCTCTTAGGACAAAGACTACGGCTAAGTTAGAACTGCGAACTTTTTATAAACTACCTTTATTTTTGAAACAAAACATGTGAATCTATGTTAGGTAGTTAAGTAGTGTATGACACAATTTTGGCTATCTCGCTTATTATTAAACACAGGTGTATATTTTACCTACAAATAAGTATTCAAGTCACACTGAATTGTGTAATCGTGAAGTAGATTAGAATTTCAATAACATAAAATAGTAGACCATGTTAAATGGTAAAATGATTTTTTACAGGATAATTAAAAAAATTGTATGCAACATACAAATCAGATGACACAATGATAATTTGAATACCTTTAAATAAGTGGACTAAGGCCCAGTACTTTAAGTCTCGGTTAAGCCTTGGTTAAGTAATCACATGATTAGACTGATTATATAATTCATTAGAAATTTAGCCAATAGCAATTACAAATTTTACGTAGTTACTATGTAATGATAAGCGATTATACTCTTGACGACGTGGTATAACCGTTTTGGTGTTTCGCCTCCTCCAACAATGTGAACTATGTCATGGTAACGATAGTTTTAACATTTGTCAATAAACGTCAAAAAAAAATAGTAACCAATAAAGTTAGTTAATTCATTATGTAATCGTATCGAATACCACTCGAGC